GGAGAGGGACCACTGGGCGAAAAAAAATGTATTGACCCAGGTCACTTTAGTTTTGTGTATTTCACTGTACATAAATTATATTTCAATAAAATGCATTTTAAAAAAAAGAGAGGAGAGCAAGAGGTGGAACGGAATGTGTCTTTGAACCCGAGATCCCTGAACTAGATCTCCTCAGCAGAGACGGGAGCAGCAGAGGCAGCAGAACCAAGAGACTGGCAGAATATTGGCCTTGCCAGCCCACGGCATGAGAAAGCTAAATGCCTTTGAGCAAGAGGCTTGCTGGTGGACCAGGGTGTACCTACTGGCAGAGCTAAAAGAGCTTTATAACATTTGCCCAAGCAAGATAGAGGCCAAGCTGAGAGCCAAACAGAAGCATGCCTTTGGGCATGGGCGAGGGGAGGCTGTTCTAATTGAAGAATTGTATCCTGAGTATTTCTGAACCTGTTACTCCTCTCAAAACTCAAAACTTACTGCCATCGTGTCGATTCTGACTCATAGTGACCCTCACTGGGTTTCCAAGGCTGTAAATATTTACAGAAGCAGACTGCTTCATCTTTCTTCCATGGAGTAGCTGATGAGTTCGAACCACCAACCTTCTGGGTAGCAGCCACATGCCTTAACCACAGCACCACCAAAGCTCCTTGTTATTCCCCTAATAAACCCCGTAATTTTGAGTATTGTCTATGAGTTCTGTGTGGCCACTGCAATGAATTATCAAACCTAGCAGAGAAGTAGTATGTTCTGTGGGAGGGACAGCTGGTGTCAGAGTTGGTAAAAAAAGGTCTGAGGGTGGGGGTGGCATGTCTGGCCTTACAGGAATAAGCCACGGGTTGCTGATGGTGATTCTGTTCCCGCCTCCATGAGGCTGAAGGAGACACCCCCAACTCCCACCACATGCTTTCTGCAGCTATTATTACCATTTCTTTCTTAAACTAGCTCTAAATGCAAGTTGTCAACAAACAAAATATGTTCAAGTTACAGCATGAGCATACACACTGATGTCCTTGTGTCCTGTCTCAGGTGGCCTCAGGTTCAAGGTGGTCATTTAGTAATGTACAATAGCCAGAGAGAAGTTAAGCACTAACAATTAGCAGCTGGGAAAACTGACAATTAAGAAAGCTGGTTTAAAAAAAACAGGTAAGTAGCCTAGGAAGTGTTTGAACTCCAGAAGTGCTTGAAGTTAAACTATCCAAAACCAGGTAGTGGGGGTGGCAGTTGATTATGGAAAACAAAACAAAACATGAACAAAAGACAAAAATAGATCTCTAGGGGACTGGTTCTCAAATAAACAGGCATGACAATCATCTGGATGGCTTATTAATGATCAGATTGATGGGCTCCCATTCCTCCTGTTTCTGATTCAGTAGGACTAGGGTGAAGCCCAATAATAAGCACTGCTAACAAGTCCCACTCCACCAGCCACTCCTCGGAAGGAAGGTTGGGCAATCCTACTTCCGTAGCAATACTGCCTCGGAAACCCAAGGAGGGGTCGCTATGAGTCAGGGCCGACTCGACGGCACATAACAACAAGTCCCACAAGGAGATACTGATGCTGCTGGATCAGGAGACTACTTTCAGAATCACTGAGCCAGGATATTAGGTCAAGGTTCTTGGCCTCATCTAGGAAAGCAAGTATAAGCAAAGTAGAGTGCCAGTAAAGCCAGTAACCAGTTGCTGTTGAATCAACTCTGAATCATGGAGACCCCATGTGTGTCAGAGAGGAACTGTGCTCTAGAAGGTTTTCAATAGTTGATTTTTTGGGAGTCCCAGCCAAATTAGTTGAGAAAGGATTCATAAAAGTAGCTTGTTGATGATTAAGAAGCTAGTAAAAAAAAAAAAAAAAAAATGGTGCCAGGTACCACAACCAAAAAAAAAAAGTGGCTTGTGTACTTAATAATGGAAGGCATCATGCACGACCAAAGAATAAGAACTGAGGCACAGGGAGAACGATCAACCCTGGTAGTAGCAACAGTAATAATAATAGTAATAATAGTAATAGCTAACACTATACTTTAAGGAGCTCTGGTGGTGTAGTGGGTAAGACATTTGGCTGCTAACCTCAAGGTTGATGGTTCAAACCTATCAGCTGTTCCACAGGAAGAGGAGGCAATCTACTTTTGAAAGATTTACAGCTTTGGAAACCAAATGGGGGTTAGTATGAGGCAGAATCTACTGGATGCCAGTGTTTTTTTTTTTTTTTAAACTATATACCAGGTACTGTGCTAGTACCCAATGTGCATTACTTTCCTTCATCGTCAAAACTACCCAGTAAGGTTGATATTACTATTATCTAAATTTTTTGGACAAGGAAGCTTAGATGCAAGATATAAGGTGACATACTAGGGGTGAAAGACTGGAACCTTTGAGTTCCTGGTTCATTACCCAGCTCAACACACCAGGAGTTACCTCCTCCTATAGACATAACCAGCAGTAACATTATCATGGTGAAACTACACTTTACACGCTAGTTCTAAATCTGCTTTCTGTAATGGCATGATAACTGAGGTTAAAGCCTGAGTTCACCCATCAAACCAAATCCAACCCAACTTACAATTCTGACTCATAAGGATCCTATCTGACAGAGTAGAACTGTTCCCACTGGGTTTCCAAGGCTGCAAATCTCTATCGAAGGAGATTGCCTCTTCTTTCTCCCATACAGGCAAGACTAAAACAAGATAAGGCTAAATACAGATAAGTAAAACCAAAAACCAAATCAAAATTACTGCCTTCAAGTCGATTCCAACTCACAACGACCCCCATGGGCTCCTGAGGCTGTAAATCTTTATAGAAGGAGATTGACCGATTTTCTTTCCATGGAGCAGCTCGTGGGTTTGAACCACTGACCTTAGCAGCCAAATGCTTTATCCACTATGCCACCAGAGCTCCTTACAGGTAAGTTTTAAAAGGTATGTTAAATGTTTTTCTGAAGACCATGCTTGTTTGCCTACTATTTCTAGTCTATGGACACCTATACATTTAAAGGGAATTCTTATCACGCTCTCAATCACCCCAATGCTTGTCTTTGGAATAGCCTTTTCCAACATCTTCCTCTTCAATTATCTCAAAGAACTGTTTTGAGGATTAAGTGAAAATTAAGTGGTCATCACAGTTAGACTTCGTGAAATTAACTATTAAAATATGCAAGAATATATTGTTGGATCTGGAGCTCAGAAGACAGGTGAACACTGGAGATTCAAATTTGGGCGTTACTATCACCTTATTAGAGGTAGTGCAAGTTATCAGAGGCTTAATATGAGAGAGGAGCACACACATAACGAGGAAATTAGAGGCCCTAGGCCTAAACACTGAGACCTATCAATATTTAGGTGGCAAATGAAGGGACAAGATACAACTGATAAGATATTAAGGAAGTAGTGAAACACTATTAATACGGAAAGGAGAGGAAAAACGTAACCTCCACTATTTTAATCAACTACAGTTTGTTAATCCCACTCCTGCGTCCATTGGCCACAGGCACTTAATATAGGAGCCTTGGAAAGCCCGATTAACTCTTAAGGCTCTAAGTACCCCACGCCCGAACTACATCATACATGAAGGAAGAAAGGACCAGTACTGGTTCCGGATTTCAGCAAAAGACAAGAAAGACAACCCAAAACTCTCAGGGGCAAACAGGTCCACCAGCACAGGCAGGTAGCCGAGTTCACCACTACCCCTTCCCGACCCGCTGGGGCTTCTAGGCCCGACCAGCGCTCACACACCCATCTCGCGGACCCGCGCGCGGCCGGAGAGATTCAACTCGCACTCCATTACCGCCTTGGCCGAACCAGCGGGCCCGCACACATTCCTAGGCCCCTTTCACTTCCCACCCATTTGGGAAAACTGCCACCCCCACTCCAGTTCTCTGGGTGCAGCGAGTCTACGGACTTTGGTAATTACCTAGAGCTGCTCCGGGCCGCCATTACACCGGATATACGTCACTTCCTGCTTTCCAGCGCCAGCAGGAAGGCGGAGAGTGCAACATTAAAAATTAGCTTTGTACTAGATTCCAAGCACTGTTATCAAGCCACACTTCACCGGCACTAAGAACAGCGAAGTTGATGTAAACTACGGAGTCCAGTATCCACCGCCTGTAAAGGCGGAAATGACGTATAATTCAATAGAAGTTTTAGGCGGGGAGGGGGCACAGTGTACGACGGGAATTGTAGTCCTTCTAGGTAAAGGTCACTAGCGTTGTTGTTATGTGCCGTGGAGTCCGACGGACTCATAGCGACCCCTCTTTGGGTTTCAAGCAGTATCACTACAGAAGTAGATTGCCCCATCTTCCTTCTGAGGAGTGGCTGGTGGGTTTGAACCGCCAGCCTTCTGATTAGCAGTCCAGTGCCTTAGGCACTATGCTACTAGAGCTCCGAGGGTCACGAGTATAACCAGTCAAAGCACTGGAAACCTGGCTCTGGTAGCATAGTGACTAAGACACTTGCCTGCTAACCAGACGGATGGCGGTTCAAACCCACCAGCCACTCCTCGGAAGGAAAGTTGGGCAATCCTACTTCCGTAGTGATACTGCCTCGGAAACCCAAGGAGGGGTCGCTATGAGTCGGGACAGACTCGACGGCACATAACAACAACAACAAGCTTTACTTTCCTCTAAAATTATTTTCTGCAGGTGACATAAAAGTAGTCTTTAATAGTCAGTTTGTGAAAGCCTCAAGAGCAGACAGCTTATTCAGACTTTTCACAGTAGTTTGTTGTTGTTGTTGCTATGTGCCGTGGAGTCGGACCCAACTCAAAGCGACCCCTCCTTGGGTTTCCAAGGCAATATCACTACGGAAGTAGATTGCCCAATCTTCTTTCCGAAGAGTGGCTGGTGGGTTTGAACCATCAGCCTTCTGGTTAGCAGTCAAGTGCCTTAGGCACTATGCTACGCTAATTCTGGAAAGTAGATGAAGCCTCTGTTGTTGGTAAGGTACCAGTTGGCAAGATAGGAGAATAAGATTACCTGGCAGAGTTGGAAATAGTAGTCTCTACAGAGCTCTGGAGGAGCTCTGGTAGTGTAGTGCCTAAGGCACTTGACTGCTAACCAGAAGGCTGGCGGTTCAAACCCACCAGCCACTCCTCGGAAGGAAGGT